AACACAGTGTTATCATGTGTTTATAGTTTAGCGTTCAAAGGCTTGGGAACCCATTTCAATAGCTGTTTATCTGCCGCTATATGTCTGGTCTCAGTATACAAATGGCTATTATTGTCGATGTTCTCCAAGAAGTACCGGTAGTTAACCATCATTCCGCACGAGTTGGACAGACCCCTAGTGCTCAGGTCGGCCAACCAGTTCAGCCGCCACATCACCGCACCGTTACGGCTGTGAAAATGGGCTATAAATAGAGATACAAACCAAACATTAAATCAAAAAATAGCAAAACATGTATCGAAAAAGTGTTGCATTGAAAAAACTAGTCATTCAGTAAATAAAAACACTGCAAACTATATGTTTGACAAAAACAATACAAAACATTACCAAAAACATATGAAAATAACAGTAATTATCAAAAAAAAACTGTGAAAACACATCACAAGACAAGCACTCAAGAAGAAGATAATGAAGTGGACACTAACCGACAGAATTCAAGGCATATCCGCGCCGTTTCTCATTATACAGATAATGGGCGCACTTCCGCATCAACGGCGCCCGCAAGAGCTCTGTCAGCCTCTCGTCATCCACCCATTGGTTACTCTTAATGAGTGCCATCAGTCGCGGCCACACATCCGACACATCGGAGTAGTCGCCGAAGAAGTGCCGTTTCAAACTCTGGAACTCCTCATCGGTGACCAGCGCCCGCTGCTTCTGGTGATCGCCATTTTGAATGGCCTGCATCTCAGACAAGAGGTACTCCGAGAAGTTGGGCACCGGTGACAGTGTGGAGAACTGCGAGATCAATGGGAACTCCGATCGCAACTCCCGTACCACTCGTTTGATCAATTGGTTGCCCAACTCTATCCCGTGAAGACCTGGAAGTGATTATACGAGTCATTATGTTATTAAGTTATCAATAGATTTAATCCACAAATTAATCGCTTAATTAAACCAATTATTCAATTAGTTTTTTTTAATAAAAAGTAATTAACGTATAATTATTTCCATAACTAATACACAACTAATTATATGTTATTAAATGAAAACACTTTTTGCTATTTATATTAAGACAAACGCCTAATACTTCCTATTAATTCATTAAATCAATTATAACTAAACAAAACATAAACTCTTAATCCATATAATAATTGAAACAAAACAAAAAATACATAATCTATTAATAATTTAATGCCATAGAAAATACATTGGCATACAATTCATAGACAGGTTTTGGTATTTGTTTTCTCTATGTATGGCTTAATTAAACAATAAATGCATTTAAAAAATTAAAAATTCAATTAATTGTGTTTTTTAAGAGTTATTTTTCGCAGACATATAATACATGCCGTTCCGCATATTTGGTCACAAACTCTCTTGTAATTAACATTATTTCCCAATTATATTGTCTTTTCATTTACTACAACAACAACAACAACACAATCGACTTTTTTATAGTTGTTTTGAGATTTAATTTTAAATTATGTGATATTTTTAGATAATTAATACATGTTTTTCGGCCGTCGAAAGGCATCGAGAGATAAATATAGCGAAAAATTTTAATTAAAAACACAAACGAGAAACTCATTGATTGAATAATTAAAATGATTGCTTCGCCGGCTATGAGGAGCACCGGGAGAGGGGAACGGGATGTTCAGGCAGTGATGAGGGGGAGGGAGAGGCAAAGAACATGAAGATTGGATTCACTTTTGTTGACACTGTTGTGTACAAAACGTGATGAAAAATTCACACACAAAATATTATGAACTAAATTTGTAATTATAAACTAAACATAACTAAAACTAGAATTAAACACAAAAAAATGGTTATAAACCTCTTTGACTGGAAGTGATTGAGTAGAAAATGGCGGCGTCCAGACCCTCGGACTCCTCCTTCACGCCGAACGTGTCTTTTGGCAGCGAAACAAAGTTCTCGTCCATTAGGCTCGGCGTACGGACTGTCCGTTTGATGATATGCTACCGATTTAAACACAAAACACATAGATTTAAGTTAAAAAACGATAATTAAACACAAAAATCAATAGACAATCACTTGAATAGATGATGATATGGTGGGCGTTAAGGCCACGTGAAGAATGACGAGCGGCTCGGATGGGAGGCAACTGTGCGAGAAGACATAGCACCGGCGGTAGAGACCGAGTCGGCGCTTCAGGTCGGCCCACGAGCGCATCGGATGCACCGCTTCGTACTCAGAGATCTACAAAACAAATCAATTGATAATTAAATTTTAAGGTAAATTAGAAAACAAATGTGTGTATGTGTGAGGTATAGGGAGGGGTCGGCCCTAACCTTCTGGAGCATAGAAGTGGGCGAATTCCACGTAATTCTCTCCAGATTTAGGAAACCGACCGAAAACCAGAGGCCGAGCAGGTCTTTGAGATAATTGCTTAGCGATCGCAACCGTACGGACGTTAGCCGGTCGTGGTTTGGGCTGTTGAGTGTCGACTGTTTTGCGCCACCGAATCGAGAATCGAGTCATCGTTCCCAATGGTCAGGAAGAAGATAATACAGTTAATGAGTTCGTGTTATAGCCATTTAGATAAGACATACCCGAAGATCTGAACGCATGTCGACAATGAATTTGACGCCATTTTCCAGACGTGATATTTGGCTAAAGAGTTGGTAATACTTTGGCCGCAACTGTGACCGCAGTTTGTCCACAGACATCACAAAGTCCTCGGAGTCGGCGGGAACTGTCTGTACGGCACGGGAGGGGATATTAAGACACAAACAAACATTGAGTGTTACACATCAGCGGATCCAATGGCTAAGAGAGACAATAGATATATACAGACTTTGGCGGACAGAAAATTGTTGACAGCGGCGGTGGCCTGAGGCGAGTGTACGGCCAGATCGTCGGCTATAAAGCATAGCAACCGGTCTTTGGTCTCCTTATCGGACGCGTAATACGTGTCGCAAAGACGGATCAGCTCTGACTACAAGACAAGAAGTAAAACATTACAAACACATCAATACATGTGACCAAACAAAGTAATTGCCGGTCGTATAGCTATGGCTTACGTCGGGATTGCGAGACTCGTATGCTTTGGTCAGCACAGTGTCGGCCAATGAGACCAGCGATGTGTTGGCCGTCGAAGAAGCGGTGGTCGACGAGTTGGTGGTGGATGTGGTGGTTGTCTCGTGTCGGCGAGTGTTGGCCATCGATGACAGCGGCGGCAAACGATGAGTGTCCAGAAGACTACTTAGCCTATTGTTCAACACCTGTTGGGATGTGGTTTGGGTGACAATTAGTTGATAACGAAATGGTAACTCAGAGGTAGCAATAAAGGGGTCACCAAAACATGAGTTGAGACCCAAAAACTCACCCAAAACTGGTTTGGTTTGCAAACGAAACGCAACATTGAGTTCATAATTGCATTGAGAAAACTGTGTCAACAAAAGTGATGTCTTGAGATCAGTCTTGGGATCAAATGGTTTGTCTGTAACCTTTAATTGTGACTTAAATCGCGAGTCGTCTGTACTGTTAGTTGTGTTGATTTTAATGGCATTTTGAGAGTGAATGTGAAAAATACAAACAAAACCAAAGTTTGTTTACGTAATAATGTCCTCAAATATGTTTAGTCACGTTGTTTATGTACGGCCCGTGGAATTATACAGTCTATTCACGGTTTTAGTACTTTGAAACTGTTGCCGAGAGTTCCGCCACTATATCGTCAAAGAGTTGCCAGACTTTGTATGTATTTCTCCGCCGTTGGGAACGTTCACGAAATACACGTATTTGATAACCAATATATCTCATGTCAAACAGCTCTTCGACACGTGTCGACAGAATAAACAGATATAATTCACACATAGACAACAAATGTTTTCAATTTGTGAAAATGGTTTTATTAATTGTTAAAAAGACTCACAAAAATGAGTAACTTAAATAATAAGGTATGTATTATTGCAATTGTTTAAAAAATTAATATTAATTTTTTAAAATTGTTTTTCAGTGTACAATTAAAGGTATTAATAATACAACTAATAACCATTGTGCTGTTATCACAGGTTTGCAAATTCTTGTAAATATGACACATTTTAATGAAAGAATTGAAAAAATGACAATTAAATTGTTTTTCAGTGTACAATTAAAGGTATTAATAATACAACTAATAACCATTGTGCTGTTATCACAGGTTTGCAAATTCTTGTAAATATGACACATTTTAATGAAAGAATTGAAAAAATGACAATTTGTCAGAATCTGAACAGGATTCTATTGACGTTCGTTTATATAAAGGTGTATTTAATGCATATAGATATTTTAAAATCAGGTATAAAAGTAATGCTGATTGTGAAGGAAATTTTTTTAATTTAATAAAAGTTGAAAAATGGGGTTATCTAATTATATTGACAACAATGGTTACTATATAGATGTATTTATTAATTACTTTTTAAATATTATATGTCAATTATTTTATTGTGAAGGAAATTTTTTTAATTTAATAAAAGTTGAAAAATGGGGTTATCTAATTATATTGACAACAATGGTTACTATATAGATGTATTTATTAATTACTTTTTAAATATTATATGTCAATTATTTAAGATGTATATAATAACTGACAATATTATCACATCATTATTTACTATGAATGAAAGTGTAAATAAAAAAATAACGTATTTGTTAATTTTTGTTATTTTATAATTAATCTAAAAAAAGATTTTACAGACATTGATTTTCATACATATACAGACACTTTTAACACAATAATAGAACAACATATGTTTTTAATTAAAGATTCTATTCTTGAATATAATAAATACATAATAATTGCAATAGAGTATAAAACAACATATGAAAATGTAAAAATTAAATATACAAATAATTTTGAGTTTACAAAAGATGACAATAATTTTAATTATTCAATCTATGCCGTTGGAATTAAGGCTATTCCATTGCAACATGGCTATTGTGTAATCAAACAATCTAATAAATATACGTTGACTCTACACATCACTGCAGAGCGTGAGAGAGCGTATGGTATGGAATATACCACTACTCTCCTCTCTCTGCAGTGTTGTGTCTCTGCTCTCTACGCCGCGAGTTGGGTAGAGAGCAGTCTAGGCGGTTGGCACTCACAGGCACTGGATGTACGCTTTTCGTTGTATTCAATAAATTGTTTGATTTCGAAGGGCCACTTATAAGTAACTTAATTTTCCATACACCTACTGGTCACCCACACACTCTCAGCACACCCACACAACCGCTAGAGCCCACCCCTGCTGGGGTGTCCTCCCGGGCGACCCCCGGGCAATGTATATTATAAATGCGATGATCACAAAATTGAATTTATTTGCGACAAATTTGATGATTGTCCACTGCATCACATTAAACAAACAAACTTATTTGTTATAAAGCAAATGGGATTCAAAGCAAAGCAAAGCAAAGAAATTTTCGCCCAAACATTGATAATATACTGTAGTGGTTTATTTTGTTATGAAATCCAATGGGTTTTCAGTTGTTTATCAAATAGTGTTGTGTTTTTGATTGGTTCCCGGTGAATATTCATTGAATTAAAAGGTATGTGGATGACCAGTGGGTGTGTGAGAGTCGTGTGGGTGTGTTGGCGATCTCGGGTGGGGACGACCCCACAGGAGGGCCCGCTGGGGGCCCGTTACAGCAAGGGTGGGATTACAATCCACTACCCCTCCGACCCCCCTCCCAATGTAAGATCGGCTGAAAACGCTAGGGTTGGTGAACGTCTGCGGCGGCAAGGAGCGCTAAGCACCTTAGACCGGACGCGTAAGGACCGGCCCATGACTGACGCGCCTTCCCGTTGAAGCCGATCTTCCCTTTTTACTCCCACTCCTCCCTATTCAAACCATGGTAACCTGAATGTGTGCGAGTCCTGTCCTGTATGTTCCTCATCATTGTTGTTGTCAATTACTTTTGTCTGTTGGTTAACAATCATTTCTGACTGCCCGCCATATGATGTGCTGGACGTGGAGTTGGCGTAATAGGCGTGCGATGACAGCGAAGCGGCCGAAGTGTATGAATGACTTACTGATTGTGGTAATAGTAAAGCGACGATCGCCATTGCCGTACTGTTGGCAACGGTTGGCGTACTATTGAACACCGAACTCGTGTTTGTGGTCACAGTAGTCAAAAGAACCGCTTCGAGTCATACCGACGAACGAAGGACAGTCCGATCGGCCCGACGGCAGATCTCGTATGAGAACGCGTTATCACTGTTGCGACGAACGTTTGAATTCATAAGTAGTTTGTTATTGTTATTTAATTCATTGTCGAGACCTGTGGGTCGAATAACGCCGCTCGTTGACGGTTGCGATGACTTAGCGGCCGACGAGGACTTGCGCTGAGAACCGGTTCGTTGAGTATTGCGGGGCAGTCGGAAAGAGGCGACTGTCTTTGAGCTCAAATGTTTGCTTTTATTCAAATTGTTAGAGTTGTTACTTAACACAATTCGCTCGTTCATGAGATCCGTGTTGTACGTGTCGACGGCGGCCCCTTCTCTGGAATGAGTCAAATCCGACCTCTGGCGCTGAATGTGACCGCGGAATGAATGTTTTGTTATGAGTTGTTCTAACACACCCGCGATGACGGCCTCCAAGACATGAGATGTCCGTTTGGTTCACAACACAACAACATAATAACCCATTTCTATTAGTTTCGCTGTTGTCTACACTTTTATTTTTGTTTTGTACTTTTGCTAAACCTTTTAAAAACAAAGAGTATATATATTTTGAGAGATGTTTAACACGAGATGATATCCAAAATACCAAATTCTGTGTCCAAAACATATCTGTAAATACCAGAGCTTAAAGATATGTGTGGTTCAAGAAAATTGTGACAATACTTACCGTCACTTAAATCTGATTTTATATAAACAAAACAATTATATCAATTGAAAGTTCAATTCAAATTTGTAAACACTTTTAAAATCCACTGCAAAATCAAAGTCAATTATGGATTTAAATACAGAATTACTATTATAGAGGCATATTGTTTAAGGATTAATTAATTTGTAAAAATTAATTATACAAAAAGTATATATCTTTAAAATTCATGAAAAACAATATCATAAGAAATAACGAAAATATCGCAAACGATAGGCTTAACACATAGTATATTGTATTTTTTTGTTAAAAATGAGATTTTAATCACATTTTAAAGTAATGTTTGGAAAAAAAGAGATAATTCTTAATAATAATGAGAAATACAATTCTCTATGTGTTGGGACTCAATATCCCGGTTCTCATTACACGATCACATAAAGCATACAAATAGACAAAACTATACCATTTGTGTCAATTGTTATTAGAAAACAATAATTTTTTCAATGTTTTTTCGGTGCATTCCTTTGTTTGTTTTTTTTAAAGGCTTTGCTTTTAAAACAATAGAAATCATTTTATATAATCATTAGAAACGCACACCAGTGGTAATGATCGCAACTTTTAACTATAATTATTAGCATTATTTAAATATGATTTACAAATTTGTATGAAAAACGAAAAATCTCCCTCAATTTTGCTGTTATTTTTGCTGGAATAATGAAAACGAGAGCCTATTGTATGTGCATTGTATATAACGAGGAATACATATGATTGTTATTTTGCTTTTAATAAAAAAAAATTTGAGTTTTCTCTTATATTTTCTTTGTTTTAATGTAACAAAAATTTTATTGTTTTTAAACAAAATTTACTTTTTATTTTCACACATTTCTTACATTTTTGTACAATTGTTTTCACAATCTCTCTCTCTCTCTCTCTCTCTCTCTCT